CGGGAAGAGGCTGTGGGCACCGGACTGCAGAGGGTTTGGCTGGCAGCTGGCACCGCCACTGTGTACGATGATTTGTTACTCTCTATTACTACGGTGGGAAGTGAAGTTTAATGTTACTGGGGAGATGCCACCTATGCCGGTTTATTAGATTCTGATTCACGGCAACCCATGTGTGCAGAATAAATCCTTGCCCCCTACGGGCTTTGGGTGGCTGGTTTCATAGAAGCAGGCCTCCTTCCGAGGCACCTTGGATCTATGCAGACCTCCAGCTCTCCGTTAGCAGCCTAGCCCACAAACCACGTACACACCTGGGGAGTCCCTCCCTCCACACTAGTGAAGGGGGAAACCTTACTTTCCATTTACCTGATCCCATTCTCCAGAGGGGCAGACCAAATGCCCCCCCACCCCCGCCTTATCTAGGCATGGCCCACAACCAAGAAGTGCCAGAAGCAGCACCCCCACCCCCCGCTTGCTACCTCATCGGCATCCTCAGCTCAGCACGCAGGACCAACTTGCCCATTAATTCAAGTCATGTCTGTCTGTCTGTATTCAGGTTGAATCACTTGCTGGTGTAATCTGAGGCCCTTCCTGCCCGTTGGCAAGAAGGGGCCAGGCCACGCTCTTCCTCTGTGGCAGAGCCTCTTCAGAAGGATGGCTCTCAGGCAGGACAGGGGTAGTTGAAAACATTGAATCAGCAACCCAAGGAAATCTTCGCTGCCCACCTCCTTCAGGCTGGTCTAACCCCCGGCCCGCCAGAGCCCCTCTCCACAGCAACTCCGGGGCCTGCCAACAAGAAAGGGCAGTGATGCCTGGAAGGAATGCACCTCCATGCCCTCTGAAGCTCAGACCTGGCTAAATCGCCTGCCTGCAGAGGGGAAGCGAACAGCTTTGCAGGGCATGTGCCGTGGATGAGCCCGAGAATGACATTTTGTAAACGACGGAACTATGGAGTTCTGTTTCCGTCCTCCGCGGGCTGTGATCTGATCACTGGCAGGTCCGCATGGAAGGACCCAGCCTCTCTGTGCCGCCTGCCCCCAGGACCCTGCCTCCCCCACCTCCCCTCCTGGGGCTCAGCAAGGGGAGGCGAGGAGTCCCCTGGAGGAGCAGGCGGAAGGGGCCCCAGTGGGAGGAGGAACAAAATAGATAACATTTCTGAGCAAGGAAGCTCCCGCCCAAGCCCACGTCTGCTTGCCAGGCTTAGGGAGGGAGGGTCTGGCTGCCATTCCAGAACCACGCAGATGGTGTGCAGGGGAGGGGCTGGAGTAAAAACCCAGGCCACCACCCTTAGGGTCTGGGTCTGGACCACTGTCCACCCCCTGGCCTCTCCCAGTCCTGCACTGTCTCCCGTGCTGGGTTCATTTCTGGTGGCCATCCCTGGGAATGGGCTGAATCCCAATCTCCTGTCAGCCTTCACTCTTGGGGACCACTTCTTCTGGGCCTCCCATGACAATGTCTATGGGGGAGGGGGTGTTGGGGTGACCTGGTGAGGTTGTGGGTCTCAGAGGGCTGAGGAGGTCAAAGTGCGGTTTGCATGGGGGAGGGGAGTGGACCCTAAAGCTTCGCCCATTCCCAAGCCTCAGGGCCGCCATCTGTTAGGTGCAAATGAGTCACACTGCCTTCGTGACCTTGAATGGGGCTCAGAGAGCCCTCAAAGGGGAGGACACTTTGCAGCCTGTGTCTGTCTACATAATGAGCCCTCCTCCCCATCCCTCCACCACCACCCATGTTGTCACTGGTCTTGAGAGCAGGCCATCCAGGGAGGTCACGTTAGCCCTGTTCAAAAAGGAGAGAAGCCCCTTGCCCAGTCGCACGACTGGTTAATGGGTGAACTGGACTTCGGGTGAGCCTGGTGCCGGGGTTGCCTTTATGCATGGCAGGTCCTCCACCGGTTTGTCCTCCCTGGGCTGAAGGCACGCAACAACAGCGGAAGGACCGAGCTTGAGGGCAGCAGGGGCCTGCTGAAGCCACCTTGTCCCCTGTTACCTGAGTCCCCTCTTCTGGGTGCTCGTGATTCCAGACCAGCAGGCTTTGTGAGACCCAGAGTCCGGGCCTAGGACAGCTCTCAGGCTGCCATGACTCCCAGAGCCCACCTCTGCCTCAAGAGAGGGCTCGGATGGCCCAGGACATGGCAGGTGACATGCTGTGGTCCCTGCCGGCCACCAGAGCCTCTACCCTCTGCTTAACCCCTGTGCCCTGCAGCTTCTCTCTGAGAGCCAAGGCCACACGGCTCACATGGTCAACGCCGTCAGCGACGTCCTGGACGCCCTGCAGAAGGAGCGGGGCCTGGGCCGGCCCAGAGCCAAGGCTGATCTGCAGAGGGCGCCTTCCAGGGGATCCAGGCCTCGGGGCTGCGCCAACGGTGAGCAGGGGTTACTGGGGAACAAGAGAAATGGGGTGAGGCTTTCCCTGTCTCCTGGATACTACAGCCATCACACTTTGACCCTCCAGCCTTCCCACCCCACCATGCTGAGTCTTATCTGCACCCTCAAGTGACCCTCCTCCCAAGCCAAAATGGGCATGATGCCCATTTCCCAGAGGAGGAAATCGAGGCTCAGAGAGGGCAATTCACTCACAACCCCCATACGGGGTGGCAGGCCCAGGGCTCCAACTCAGGCCTGGATTTGTGGTGAAAGGGGCAGTGCTGGTTACCAGAGACCTGGGGACAGCAACAGGGCGGAGGAGGACATGGAGCTGGACCCGAAGCTCCTGACTGGCCTTCTGTGCCCCAGGCTCTCGGCCCCGAGATTGTTTGGACGTGCTGCTGAGTGGCCAGCGCGAGGATGGTGTCTACTCCGTCTTCCCCACCCACGACCCCGCCGGCTTCCAGGTCTACTGCGACATGAGCACCGAGGGTGGCGGCTGGACGGTGAGTCGCCCGGCTGGGCAGCTCAGTCAGACCCCCCCCCCCCCCTCCGCTCTGCGGACAGTGGGGCCCCCTGGAGTGACACACAGGGCCACGCAGACAAGTCCAGGGTGCACTTGGACAAGCTCTGCCCTGGGTACCTCCGGTCCCAGCCTCCACAAGCTAGCCATAATCTTTCCAAAGAACTCTGAAACAGGGAGAGTGGAGGAGCCTGCAAAGGGCAGAGAGTCCATCCGTGCGATCCCCACGGTCTGTCCGCCCTCTTCAGCGTGGCCTGTCGGTGGGAGAGCAGAGAGAGTACATATGACCGTGGGCGTGGCTGTGCTACACCAGCGACCGGCTGGTATATCATTCCCACAAGTCCTGAAAGATGCTTCTGATTTCTCTGTAAAAAATAATTTCTAAACACTGCTGAAGTCATTCTGAGCTGGCAGGCGGTGCCAAGCCAGGGGGCAGGTGAAGGATCCGGGGGTTTCTTGTGGAGGTGATGGAGATGTTCTAAAACTGGCTGTGCCGACGGCTGCAGAACTCGGTGGCGAGAGGGAGAACCATCGGATCGTACGGTGTGGATTACAGCGCCACACAGGCGTGGAGACCAGCAGGCAGCAGGAATGAATGGTTCGGCCCATGGGACATAGTTTGCAAAACCCCTGCTCAGCTCCGGGAGCCTGTGGGCTCCTGACGGGGATGGAGGAATTGGTGGGCTCTGACTCTACCCTCTGGCTTGGGCTTGGAGGCAGACATGATACTGACAATTGGGTGACTGTGAGCATGTAAAAAAAAAATCCATGTTAAAAAAATTCCACTGAGCCATGAGTAGGTCATGCTTAGGACAGGGCGGGCAGGGCTTGGCGAGAAGACATAGGTGAGCCCTCTTTCAACCCACTCAATCCCCTGGCTGGAGCCCTGGTTGTGTAGTGGTTATGTGTTGGGTTGGTAAACCACGATGTAAGCAGTTTGAAACCACCAGCCACCTTGTGGGATAAAGACCAGGCTTTCTACTCCCATAGAGAGTTACAGTCGCCTATAGGGTCACCATGAGTCAGCGTCAACTCAGTGGCAGTGCGTTTGGTTTTTACTTATCTTCTGGCCAGGTACCCTTAAGCAGTGAACAGCCTGCACCATTGTCCCTGGAAGTCTATGCACTGCCCTGAAAGCGGTTTCTCGTCCCCTGACCCTTTGTAGCTGTGTTGGAACACCCAGTGACAGTGGAAGACAAGACCAGTAGGAACGGATTCTTTCTCGATATTTGATGGCAAGCTATGTCTGAGCACCTGCTGCCTGCTGGGTCCTGGACAGGTGTGGAACTGGGGTTGTCTCCAATCCAGTTCTTCCAAGAAACGGAGCACCTGTGGAGGCCTGGAGTTAGCAGAAGTGGGGAGAGGCTCTGAACGTGCTTCCTGGAAAGCAGGGGTTTTCGGGTGAGCCTCAGTGGGCAGGTTCCGGGTCTCTGAGTGTTCAGGGGAGAGAAGTTGTTCTCGGAAGAGGAAGCAAAGCCCAGCAGCCCGCAGGGTGGGTGGCAGCACATTCAGGGAGCAGAGAGCCCACTGCAGCATGTGGTACTTTGCTGAGATGAGGGCACAATTGTCAGTACCCCCAGGCTGCAGGGTTGGGGACAGACACAGGGGAGCCATGGTGGGGGTTAGAGGGAGGCATGCATGATGGGCTGAGAACTGTACGTCAGAAACCATGACTGGGTTCTGTCCATCCTAGAGTGGGGAGAGAAGGGGAGGAGCTGTTTTACCTTGCCCCTCCACCAGAGGGCCCCATCATCCAGGCTGATAGCCCCGCCATGCGCCCTTGGGCAAGTTTCTCTGAGCCTCAGTTTTTTCTGCTGTGAAATGGGGGTGCTCCCCTGCACCAGCTAGAGATCGTAACTACCAGAGCAGAAAGTGACTGGGTTGAGGCTAAAAAGGAGTGTAGGGAAGAGAGGCTGAGAAACCGGTTCAGGGCCTGGGCCAGAGCAGGTCATGCCTAAGCCTGGTGAAACCCCCATGGACTGCCGCCGCGGCCTCTGCCACTCACCAAACACGATCCGCCCCCACCCCCCCAACAAGATGGCATCCAGTGCTGGCTGGGGGGTGGCCTCCCTGGTCACCATCACAGATGGTTCTGATTGGTGGAATCTGGGTCACAGGACTACAACACTCCCTGAAAGGAAGCCTGGTGCTTATAGCAGCCACAGTGGGAGCCGGTTCCGCCCCGGCCAGTCTGCAGAAGATGGGAATTCCCCATAGGAATGAGAGTCCCTAAGGCGCTTGTCCACTTCAGGGGTCTAGGGGAAGGACCTAGTCTTCCATTACCACTGGCGCACTGGGCAGCTAGCATAGGATGGCTATTCGATGGCGGTTGACAAACCCCAAGCCACGGTCTGGGTAAGACACCGGCCAC